CTCATCATGGGGAATACTACATCCAGCTGCCCAGCCACTCAACCAGGCCCAGCCAAGTTGACACACAAACTGAACTCTACCACACTCTCTAATGAAATTTGAAAGTTGTCCAGTGGGCATTGCTGGTGTTTGCTTAGAAGTTAAGTGGCATCAAGGCTGATGTTTTCTTAAGATTCTTTTGAGCTTTCCTTCATCATCACAAGGTAGCCACTGCTGCTTCAGCCACCACATCACATTCGAGGCAAGAAGAAAGGATCGGGGGAAGTAAGAAGAGGAAGGAGGAACAGACTTGCACTGTTTCAAGGTCCAGACTGGATAAAGTCCAGATAGCATTGTATCCTTTGTATAATATATATGCTATACCTGTTCCACAAATACGTTTTCTAGAGTAAGATAAATGAGGTTCAGATCATAGCATTTCCTAGCTATAGAGCCTTGGACCACTTACTAATTGTTCAAAAACCTTTTTGGCATCATCTGTAGTAGTGTGTAACTTTTGTGGAAGGAGGACTATCATGAATGTAAGATAAGCAGTTTGGGCTCTCAAGCCAAACAGCTTGGAGTTCAAATTTAGGTTCTTTCACTCACTAACTATTAGGCCTTGATAAAATATCTTAACCTGACGGTGGCTGCTTCCTCATATAAAGACTGCTGATAATAATAGTGCGTACCTCAGAAGATTGATGTGAATATTAAATGAGTTAATATTTGCAAAGGGCTTAGAACAGTTTCTGGCACCTAGTACTATGAAAGTGTTAGTTACTATCATTTCATATATTAAGGTTAAGGAGCTCTGGTAGCATAGTGGCTAAGGCACTTGACTGCTAACCAGAAGGCTGGCGATTCAAACCCACCAGCCACTCCTCAGAGGGAAAGTTGGGCAATCTACTTCCGTAGTGATACTGCCTTGGAAACCCAAGGAGGGGTCACTATGAGTCAGCTCCGACTCGACGGCAAATAAAAATAATATATTAAGGTTAAGTGCTTAGTGCATACTTCCTGGCACATAGTAAATGCTCAATAAATAGTATCACTTTAAATAATTACAGTATTACATTTTCAAGGCTTCCTAGCCATTTTGTGAAATGGTTACCACAAAAGAATTGCTAATGTTTTTACTTTTTACATGTTTTGGGTGACATGGGAGTCATTCATTGCCCTGTGGATGGCCTGATTTCAGTAGGAGAGGAACCCAGCCTTGAGGTCCAGGGTTCTCATCTTCCATATCACTTCATTTTGTGTTTCCAGGCCCGCTGCTGGAAGACTGGGACATAATCAGTCCCAAAGATGTCATTGGCTCCGATGTGCTGCTGGCTGAGAAACGGTCATCGCTGACAACAGCTGCCCTACCCTTCACACAGTCCATCCTCTCTCAGGTGGTTTCAGGGACCCCTGGGGGTCAGCTGTGGTTGGAGGGTAGGGCCTACCTGGCAGACCTCAGAACCCCCAGTACCTTGGATTCTAGCACGCTGGTGGGCATTTGCTCCTGGCCTGCCCAGCTTACTAGTGGTATCCCTCCTTCCTTCCTTCACAGGTGGGCCGTACCTTATCTAAGGTCCAGCAGGTGCTAAGTTGGTCCTATGGGGAAGATGTCAAACCTTTTAAGCCACCCCTGAGTGATGCTGAGTTTCACATGTACCTGAACCATGAAGGCCAGCTATCCCGTCCTGAAGAGTTGCGCCTGCGGATCTATCATGGTGGTGTTGAGCCCTCCTTGAGAAAGGTGAGTCTCCTCAGTTACTCACTGAATCTATCACTCTCCCTCATTTACTCTCTCCCTTAGTCATTGAAAAAAGCTCATGAGACACATACACACAGTCTGCCATATATTGTTGGGGTGTGGAATGGGGGTACTCCAGGGCAAGAAACTCTCTACTAGGAGTGATTGGGAGCCAGAGGTGGGGAGTCAGACTTTTCAGAAGGACAGAGGTCCAAGGTAGGTCAGTGGGTGGTGATGAATATACACTGGGGTATCGTGGCTTACCTGTAGAACTTCAGCCTCATCCCTTTTCATACCTGGCCAGGTGGTATGGCGGTACCTGTTGAATGTATATCCAGATGGGCTGACAGGCCGTGAACGGATGGACTACATGAAACGCAAGAGCCGTGAGTATGAGCAACTCAAGAGTGAGTGGGCACAGCGGACAAGCCCCGAGGATCTGGAATTCATCCGCAGCACAGTCCTCAAGGATGTACTGCGTACTGACCGGGCCCACCCCTACTATGCAGGGCCTGAGGATGGCCCACATCTGCGGGCACTGCACGACCTGCTAACCACCTATGCTGTCACCCACCCCCACGTGTCCTACTGCCAAGGCATGAGTGACCTTGCCTCGCCCATTCTTGCTGTCATGGACCACGAGGGCCATGCCTTTGTCTGCTTTTGTGGTATCATGAAGCGCCTGGCCGCAAACTTCCATCCTGACGGCCGTGCCATGGCCACCAAGTTCGCCCACCTCAAGCTGCTGCTACGACATGCTGACCCTGAATTCTACCAGTACCTGCAAGAAGCTGGTGCTGATGACCTCTTCTTCTGTTACCGCTGGCTGCTGCTTGAGCTCAAGCGTGAGTTTGCCTTTGATGATGCTCTCCGCATGCTTGAGGTCACCTGGAGTTCACTGCCTCCGGATCCTCCTGAACATGAGGTTGAGCTTGTTGGACCCCCCAGCGAAGTGGCAGACACTGGTTTTGGTGGCTACAGGGGGCGACCCATGCGACAAAGGCACATGCTGAGGCCTGCTGGTGGAGGAGATGGTGCCTTTGAAGATGCTGTTGATCACTTGACCACAACCAGCCAGGGGCCTGGTAGTGGAGGGCGTCTCCTGAGACAAGCCAGCCTAGATGACCTCCAACAACTCAGGGATAATACAGGCAATAAGAGGGAACCTCTGCTTCAGCTGCCACGACCAGCTGCCCTCATCAGCTCCAAGTCCCTCTCTGAGCCCTTGCTGAACTCCCCTGACCCACTGCTCTCCTCCTCTTCCCACCCTGACTCTCCATCCTCCTCATCTCCACCCTCTACCCAGGAGGCCTCTCCCATTGGTGATGTGGCTGCAAGATCCCCCTTGATGCAAGAAATGGGGAGCCCACAGGACCCTGGGAAGTCCCTGTTACCACCACCACCACTAGGCCTGCCCCCACCCCAGGAATTTGGCTGGGGGAACCCATTCATGCTCTTCCTCTGCCTCGCCATCCTGTTGGAACATCGAGACCACATTATGCGCAATGGGCTGGATTACAATGAGCTGGCCATGCACTTTGACCGCCTTGTGCGAAAACACCACCTGGGGCGTGTCCTGCGCCGAGCCAAGGCTCTATTCGCTGATTACCTGCAGTCAGAAGTGTGGGACTCAGAAGAAGGGGCTGAGGCCACAGCCCCATCTTGATCAGGCTCTCCAGCTGACCATTGGCCCCACCAGATCTCTGTTTTCTGCCATGAGGGCCTACACGTGAGACTCCACCTCTCTGTCTGCCAGCTCTACTAGACCTGTTCGGAGTGTGAGGCCCTTTCCCCAGGTCTGAGTTTGTAGGGCTCTGCTTCAGCACTGCCCCACGGAGGCCATAGCCTTTTGTTTTGTTTTATCCTATTTTTAACAACTATACTTTGCACACATGAAAGTCTCTGTTGTCTGTGTATTTCTGTACCTCTCCCTAGTTTTTGCTGTACTCATGGAGTACCTATAGGGTATTTACCTGATCAAGCTGAAATACTTCTACTTGGTGGAGAGTGGCTCGTGTTTCCCCAATGGTAGGAGAGTGGATACTGAGAATCGTTTCTAGAAGGTGAGCTCAGTTTGGGGACTACTTGAGGAAGGCCTGAGTGTTATTTTGGTCTGTGCCTATGAGGGTCTGTATTATGGCTGTGAATGTATGTTTTCAGAATTGTTGTTGTTGTTATGTGCCGTCGAGTTGGACCCAACTCCTAGCGACCCCTCCTTGGGTTTCCGAGGCAGTTTCACTACGGAAGTAGATTGCCCCATCTTCCTTCCGAGGAGTGGCTGGTGGGTTTGAACCGCCAGCCTTCTGGTTAGCAGTCAAGTACCTTAGGCACTACGCTACCAGAGCTCCCTTAAATATTCTGAATGAGCGAGAGAGTTCCTAGTTCAAAAAAGGGCAAGGTTCTTTACAAAGGCTAGGAAGTATGGACAACTTAGAAACACTGGATCAGCCACCCACCCCTGGCTTTCCATATGTCACCATTTCTAGAATCTAGACCCTTCCCTGTGAGTCTTACACATTAATGCTAGAAGCCCTGAGCAGGGATATAAGGCTTCTATTTTGTCATTGACTTTTGGGCCAACTTGATGGATGATGGCCTTACCATGCCTACGACTCACTCTGACCATAATCTAACCCCTAAACTCAGTATTCAGTTTCCCACTTATGGGTACCCATCTTAACTGTTTTAGCAATAAACCAAAAAAAAAAAAAACACACTGCCATCTAGTCAGACCCGACTCATAGTAACCCCTCCTTGGGTTTCTGAGGCAGTATCACTACGGAAGTAGATTCCCCAGCCTTCCTTCCGAGAGGAGTGGCTGGTGGGTTTGAACCACCAGCCTCCTGGTTAGCAGTCAAGTGCCTTAGGCACTATGCTACCAGAGCTCCTCTGTCCCACTGATTTAGACAAATAAATCAAATGCTGAATACAACTCAGGTCCTGAAAGAATTTACCGTACTTATTTGGGTGATAATGAAAAGGTGGTCCTTTTTCCCACCTTACCTTCTGAAAAAGCAGGATTATCCTTCAGGCCAGGTGTTGTCCTCTACAAAGGATGTGGCAAGTGATGTGTGAGGTAATTGGAATCCTTCAGATCAGGGCCTAGCCTTGTCAAGTTCTGAGCAATGCTGGCACAGATAAGGGGGTTATCAAAGGCAGCCATCTTGTAACCTGTCTTCCCAAAGAATGCCATTATAAAGTTGGGATTACCCTTGAAAGGCTCACATGACTCCCCAGTATTGAAGGGGAAGCTGACCATTTCTCAGATAAGGGTACAATCATTTAAAAAGCAGGACATTTTGTCTAGGGTACTCAAACACTGTGGGTCTAACAAATGCATTCTGTGGATAAGAGCTCAGACCCCTGGGGGGTTATTCAGAGTATGAGAGTGTCTGGCCCTCTGAGGACCTGTCAGTAACAGGCTGAAACCCTCCAGAGTCAAATAAATGCATTCCTTGATTAATGAGGTCAGATGAAGAACCAGACAAGTCAATTCTGTGTATGGGAGCCTGTGATTTCTGAGGGCCAGAAGAGACTCTCTGTGAATAGGAGGCCCAGATACCCTGAAGGCCTGAAACCTCTATTAATCTTCTAGGATACTTGGGGCTTCTGGTTCCTGCCAAGATGGTACACCAGCAGAAGCTGCTGTCTCCCTTGCCTGAAACCAATCCTAGGGAAACTACATAGGGAAACACTGATTCCAGAAACTGGAGCACAACTACAAGAGGCTTGTGGGAAAATGGAAAGCTGTCTTTAACTGATGTGTGTTTTGAGGGGTGGATAGCTAGAAGCAGCAAATACAGGATTGGTTAGGGAAAAGATATTTAAGTTCTGGTGCCAACCTTTCCCCAGTATTGCCTTGAGAAGGTCCTTGTCTGTCCCCCTCACTGGAAAAATCATCCAAACCATTAGTACAGGTGCTAGTATCATGGCATTCAAACCGTCCTAAGGGAATGAAATGACCAGCCAGAGATAATCACTCCTCCATCTCTCTCCCTCCAGACACCAGAGAAGGTGGGTTATACCTCTTATGGTTTAAAGATGAAGCTCTTACCCGAGGAATTATCAGATGGTATGATAGCAGATTGGTAATAACCATGCTTTTGTCATGTCTGAATAGTGGATAACTTCAGGGAAATGAAAGCTCACAGCCAAAAGAACTAGACACCCAAGGAATGTAACTGCTCCCAGAGAAAAATTAATTGGATGCATTAGTTATTATTGTATAACAAATCACTGCAAAACTTACCAGCTGAAACAACAAATATTTATTATATTACAGTTTCTGAGGGTCAGGAATCTAGGAATGGCTTAGCTGCATGGTTTTGATTCAGGGTCTCTCATGAGGTTTCAGTCAAATTGCTGGCTAGGACTACAGTCAGCTGAAGGCTTTGCTTGGCTGACAGACCCACTTCCAACATGGCCTACTCACATGGCTGTTGAAAGGAGGCTTTAGTTCCTCACTACCTGAGCCTCTCCATGTGATGTGAGCAAGCAAGCAAGACACCATGGCCAAGACAGAAGCTCCAATGTCTATTCTAACTTAATCTCAGAAATGATACACCATCACTTCTGCTGTAGTCTAGTGGTCATACAGAACATTACTGGTACAATATGGGAGGGAACTGCACAGGATGTGAAAACCACAAGGTGGGGATCACTGGGAGCCATATTGGAGACTGGCTCCACACTAGGTAACATATAATCTCTGAAGCTATTAGAACAGACAGATGAACTTTGAACAAGTATATTATGGTTAGGTGCCATTGAGTCAATTACAACTCACATAGACCTTATATATAACAACAAAACGTTACCTAATCCTGTGCCATTATTACAGTTGTGGCTATGTTTGAGCCTATTGTTGCAGGCACTGTATCAAAATCCTTCTCATTGAGGGTCTCCCTGTTTTCTGCTGACTCTACTTTACCAAGCATATAAAGTGTAAGAATTTACAGTAAGAGATAATATTAGAATATAAAACAGACAGGAACAAGAGATTATAAAAAAGACCCAAAGGATATATTAGGTATGAATGTGATAGTTGAAAAAAAAGAAAAATTATACTGTAAATGGAGAATATAAAATGAGAAGTCAGAACTAAGTCCTAATATAAGAGTAATTACCAAAATGTAAATGGATTAAACTATTTAAAACACAGACCTTCAATGGATTAAAAAAAATCCAACAGTATATATACACACATACAAAGATTCAGAAGTATTGAAAATGAACAAATGAAAACAG